TCAATTGAATAAATATAAAAGTGCGCATTAAAAATTTATCGTGCACAGTAAATTATTGAATTGTTCCGAAACGATACTTATCAAAAGAAATATCAGTTTAACATTTAAGAGATCATTACTCGTGGTGTTTGTCTATGTTTACCTGCATGGAGAATGCAATATACACAATTTAGTAAAGATGTACACTTGTAAAAATAACGTACATATACGTACATTTTTCATTAAGTTATCTCACATCAATACTTAAGAAATAAATAACAAGTTTAAAAACTTCTCTGGGAAATGAAGTGGATCCGTCACGTGATCAAATCCTGTGAAGGCCGAAGGCAAAGGATTCTGTTTTGAAGGGAATATTCTGTGAAAGGCTTAAGGCTACTTGTGAACAATTACAGTGAGCATATTGGTGTCTGGGAATTTTTGTATTCATGAGAACCCATATTCGATGTTAAAAAACACAAGAAACACGTCCGATGTTTGAAAATAAAAAGTTGGAGGAATTTCGGTCGGAAAGGGATGGATGGAGACACTTGTCCGGACCAGATAACTTAAAATCAAGTATAAAATTTGACCAGAAACATAAAATCTACGATTTCAGTAAGGCACATTTATTATGATGACACTGGCGACAGCTTACATTGTTAAGACAACGTCACAACGATCTCGATGATGGAGGTGTGCCTACCGAACTTCCGAAGTACAGTGTTTGTCAGCTGTTTGTGGCGTGATTGCATTACATTGATATTTTCCAACAGATTTTCAAATTTATTGTGAGTAAAGTTTAATGAAAAAGAAATTATAGCATTCAGAGCACAGTCACTTGTTTCGTATACGAGGCACCTCTACTTGTTTTTACCACAAGGTACCTAACTCAATTTCAGGCACCCCCGCTTCAAGCTCGTATTTTGTTTATATATCAATCATTAACCTACTTTAAAATGACATCGTTCGCTTCGAAAGACTTTTTTCTTGTCAAATTCATCGTTTCGGACGTCTCTGGTCGAGCCTCTTTATTGTAAACCACTCATTTCTTCCTCGAAAATTATCACGGTACAGAATAAGACTTCGAATCGGATACATTGACTTCGGTTGGGTTATAAATGAAGGATAAAACCAGAGACCTCGGAAAGGAATACTCGTAAGTCTCTGGATCCCGGGGGGGGGGGGGGGGGGAGGTCTCACTTTACAACCAGTCTTCCGGGGGAAATCTCACTATATAGCCAGCCTTCTGGGGGAAGTCTCATTACGGGGAAGTTCTCACTATACAACGCCGGCCCTCAATTGATTTCAAAAGATTTTCTTAATCTTATTCTCCTAAGTGACTTGGCCATCGAGCTACTGGAGATATGAAGGCCAAAATGAGCTACTCTTAGATCAGAACCTTCTACTGTCCAGATTCAACTTTTAACGCTTTATATAATATAAATACATGTACACGCTACTGAAAAAAATTGCATAGAAAAGTGAAAAAATGCCATCAACGTAACTTTTCTTGCAATATAGCCTACTTCCAAACATAAGTAATAAAATTAAAACGTTATCAGCTAAAATTAAGCATTTACAAATTGTCTGAAAGAGTCCCAATTTACCAACCCTAATATTTAGGCTGTTCTCGGAAACAATTATTTTATATAATAATGTTGCCTTTATTTCAAGAATAGATGTGATTTGATGACCTTTTTGCCATAAACCAGTAATGCAATTTAAAATTACACAAAGAAAATGATTGCAAGTGCTTTAATTATAAATCCTTAAAATATAAATCATCTCTTTTACGCAGGGGCATTTATGTCTCTGCTTAACTTGTGCTTTATTTTCTAATTTTTTCCCTCGAAATACATTCGCTGAATAAGATTTGTTTTATTTTAAAAATGGCATCAATTTATTGAGTGACCAAACATGCTAAAGTACACATAAAAGTAAAGTTTTCGCCATCAATTCACACCAGTTGTAGTTAAGCTTTTAATGCGAGTATTTACGTAATTTTTTTCACTTTGATTTCGTTTTTCTGTAAATTCTTGGATCCACGCCTTGGCTGTTCTAATCGATGCCATGCTTAGTGCATTTTGATATACACGCACTGACCATCATTTACGCAATAGCCTAGATAACTGCATGTATTTTGAAGACTCACCACCACCCAAGCGATCCTGTCTCCCGGACTCTATGATTCCTGTGTAGTTTTTCTTTAAGATGACCTGTTTTGTTTGATAACAAGACAGATCGCCCATATGTTTACATCTCTATGTTTAGAAATCGTGTCATTCGCCAGACCACCAGCTTATCAATGGCAGCTTACACTGGGACTTCATATCCGGGTTTCAAACTTAACGTGTCATCACAGATATATTAATTTTATCAAACTTGATTCATTTATTTTAAAATGCTGAAATACACACTGAAATCAATTATTTTATTTTTGTATGAATATTCAAGAACAAGGTTCACTTAGGACCTTTTTTGGCCCTGTTAATTTCTGAAAAATAAAAAATTCAGTTTTAGTTAAAAATACATTAATTTTACTTGGACCCTTGCTGACTGCATATCTATTAAAATTGACGTAATTTTCTCGCTAGTTCATGCATTATGACATCATGAATTGCGTCATTACCCCCAAATCCTGACAAATTCTTCAAAAATGACCAAAAATTTAAGCTGTTTCTCAATTTTTTGCAAAGACCCCAACCTCTGATCTAAAATGTTGAATTATATAATAAAAGTAATGTTTCAGAAGACTATAATCCATGTTTTATTTTTTTGGATCGCAGGTTGGGCTCATATTTTAATCCTTTGCCGAATGTGCTCAAATACACCCATTTTCGTCAAAATTCAAGAACATTACAATTTCACAAAGCCACTTTTACAATACCTAGACTCAGAGAGGAACCTTTTTTTTTATAGGAAATGAAAGCACTAAGTCTCTACTATATATTGATGTTTGAAATGGGATATTAATTGGGACTTGGTCAGTTAATTGGTATATCGACAGGGCCATTTTATGGAGTTAGTGAACCTAGCTCTTTAATCTTAATTTGTTGAGGTGTCTAGAAAATTCAAAGGCAAAGTGAATGCATGACGTATTCCCTCTGAATAGAACAGAGGACTTTGTTATTTAAGGATTATTACTGCATCCAATTTTTAGCGAATGAAAGACGTAAATAAAACTTGGTTTCGATGCAGCGGGAAACGTTTAACAAACTCAATATTTTCTCCAGTTTTAAATTTAACAGAAATATGGAAAAGTCTTCAGAGTTTTGCACGGATTATATGCACTTAAATACAGGTATAAATTTTACAAAGTTTTAGATGACGTAGCCGGAAATTTTCAGGAGAAAGGGAGTTATCTAAATTTAGATAAAAGAACCAAAAAAAGATCAAAGAAATACGCACGAAGCATTAATTTTCAAAGGTGGGAGTGTTAATGAAGCAAAATATAAAGATGCCCGAAAAGACTTTGACAACTGTCTGACAAGTAATAAAACAAAACATAAAAATTCGGGGGAGGAGGGGGTGTAGGTTCCAACAAAAAATGTTTGGATACATTCAGAAGGAGGGTTTGACTAGCTGTAACAAAAAATGTGGGACCGGTCTTGCAATGAAAAATCACATACTAAATTACATAATTTCACAGCAAATATTATTCTCGGAAAAATTAGGGAGCCATCCCACCCCCTTCCGATACTATTTTAATGTGCCTGAGAAAACAAAGCACTCGGAATTCACTGTCACTAAACTTTCAAATTGAAACTACTTGGATGTTTTCAAAATACAATTCTTAATATACTGTATTATAACCAAAAAAGTAGGTAAGACATAAAATAAAAAAAGTAGCGTGTTCCAGTTTTTATACTTCTATGATTACTAGTCTTGCATGATTTATATATTGAGATAATTTTGATAATTTAATTTTAATGATTACTGCAAAATTACTTCCAGAAATGACTTAGTATTATATGTAATTACTTTGTCAGCATTAATTGGCACCAGTTTAATTTTGCGCACTCGCGCGGGTAATCATTTAGTAACCATTACAAAAAATTTATGAGAAACAAAATTTGTACATGTATGTAAAAAGCAAGGTGTCAAAAGAACTAGTCTTCAAGTGGTAGGACAGACAATCTCTATAAGAAAATGCAAAAGGGGTGCTGTTTAATGGAGGATCGCCATATAATAGCACTAATAGTAGAACAGATACCAAAAATCTTATTCATAAACGAAATAAAAAACAATTTAGAAGTGGCTAAACGTAAGGAAACTGTTAATATTGAATTAGGACTTAAGTACATAAAAAGGACATACACATATGAAGGGTTTCAAATTCTCGTTAATTAGTGCTTCGTTGAAAATAAGTCATAGTGCATTTCCCAGCAAAAACTATGGGTGCCCAAAAATACTTATACTTTTTGGAAAGTGTAAAATTAAAAGGCATTATGTTCAATATCTGGCATTAGTTTGAGTTGTACGAAGTTAAATGATGATCTTATATTTATACACTAGTATTTTTTTTATGTGCTTCTCTGAAAATGAAAATAGTGAAAAATTAAATCAAATTGGTTAATAAGTCTTGAAACAGCTTTTGTCGAAACATCCTTCATTACTGGGATCTGCTTTGAATTCATCATGAAGATCTGCCTTTATAATTGAATCTGCCTTTGGACTATGAGTTACTATCATATCACTGAACATTTCATTCTGCTTAAATCTATGTAACTACATTGTGCGTTAAGAATACATGTAAGTAATTAAATGTTAACTTTCTTCTATTTCAAACTTTAAGGTCAGAAAATACATAATTAAGTAAAGGTTTATCCAATAAAGAGAATGTTTGAAATTAAAAAAAAAATGTAATTTTAAAGAAAATTCAAAATCTAACGTTACGACCAATCCACAAACAACAAAAAGATTACACTGTAGATTGGTGGGGGGCATTTTATTTGATAAAGGATGGATCCTCTTGAAACTCAGGACAAAAAGGCCTTAACTGATTGATTCCTATTACAAACCTTTGAAGAAACAATGCGTTGTAATCCTGGTAGTTATGGGAAGCCACTGTTACATGTGTAAATATCCAGAGTAAAGTCCATATACAGCAAGGGACCAGAACCATCACTTTCTGAAATGTTTTAATGAAAAAACTGTCATACTCAAAAACAAGTGGAGATACTAGTACTAGAAAAGACGTTTCAAAATGAAATGTGGTTTGAAACTTATTTGCAGTTAACATTGACGCATTTTCAACATATTTTTTGTATCATATGTGTTAACAAAAGAAGCACAAACATGACATTTTTTTCGGCTTTATACACTTTTTTTTTTTTAAAAAAGATGACAATTTAAATATGCTTTGGACAATTGTTAACACAATGCAATTTAGTGCTAAAAACTTTCAGTTGAGATTTATGCACGACTTTAAAGACCCTCTAAACTGTTGTACAGACTGAGAGGTATCGGAGTGCTTACCTGTTAAGGTCTAATTTCTAAAGTATTCTGTTTTGAGAAAAAAAAGCTAAATGTTTTACATGCAAAATATAGCTCAGCAGATTGATATTTGATGAGGTTTAAATGTGACGACAAATGATTGAGGTGAGATTGAATTGATACCCAATACACCTTTTATCATTTGTTTCTCACTACGTGACTTTTTTCAAAATCCAATTTTCAAACACATTGCTTTGATGGTTATGATAATGAAATACACCTCTCAAAAATCTTACCATTTTTTTTGTCTTAACGTGATCAAATTGATCATTTTGTTTTTAACATATGTTTGACTTTGATATCCACATAATAGCACTGAAATATTACTTCTCTCCCACTTTTAGTCAGAAAGGGATTTGGGTCTGTCTACTGAAAAGCAATTGCATTATACTACTGGTCCACAACTTTGTACTGAATAGGTATTAAAAGCTCATGTAGCATAAAAGGCACTTATTAATTGTACTTATTTTCAGTGGGTACATGTTTGCCTTGATTCAAAGAAAAGCTCATTTGCTCAAGATGTAAGGCCACGGGTCTGAAATGTGTAAAATATATATCGTCCTTAATTTTTAAAAGGAGCAATAGTAAAGGCTTGTTTTAAAGGTGGCTTATCTCACTCAGTTTATTTCAATACAACAGCACTAATTATTAGGGATGTCTCAAATTTGTCAATTCATTTTCGTATATGCGTTATCCTATCATGACAGGATTCGCGTCGGTTTTGGTAGTAAATTTGGTTGTAGATTTTTGTAGGTGTACAGTTAGGAATTCTACGTAAAATGTTATTTGTGTTTGATAAATATATCTATGTTAATTTTAAGTATATATTTGTTTGTTTGTTTGTTTGTATGTTTTTAACGTCCCTCTCGAGAATTTTTCACTCATATGGAGACGCCACCACTTGCCGGCAGAGAGCTGCAAATTTTGTCCTATAATCGGCACTTAAGGCCATTGAGCAGTGAGGGATCTTTTTCGTGCCATCACCTACTGCGACACAGGACCTCGGTTTATACGGTCTCATCCGAAGGACCGGTCTCCACGTCCCACAGTGGGATTCGAACCCGCGACGTAAGGATCAACTCCTTACTTCGCGACTCTAGAGCAGACGCTCTAACCACTGCGTCACGCGGGCGACTTTTAGTGTATACAACTAATACATATGATTTAAAATAAAATATTTTGAAGCCCCAAGTGAACCGATAGTTTTATAAAAGATTTAATAAAGTGATGTACATGTCTGTGGTCTTACCAAGGGTAAAATTGTGTAACGTTCAGATTATTAAAAATTAAACATTTATCTGCCTAATTAAAGATACAATTATAATCTTTAATACATTGTTTAAAAAATATAAAACAACTCCATAGACAATTTTCTTAGGTCATTTCTAAAACTGAGGATACGTATAACTCAAGATAGAATAGCATCTTTACTCTAAATGATACATTCGCGAAGTGAGTATGACTTTTATACATTTGAAGCTATAGGTATTTTGCACGCTTTGTAAGCCCATCTCCTTTTGGAAGAAACAAGATGTGTTTGATAAACACAAATGCTCCCGAGAGTAGCCTATGGTAATGATAAGCAATCAGAAACAATGTGAATTGAAAGGGTTTTAACTTTGATCGCCGATTGTGGCCCCACCCAACCTCAGGGGTCACGATTTGATCAAATATGAATCTGCACTGCGTAATGAAGCTTTCACAAAAGTTTCATCTTTTTGGCTTCGTGGTTCTTGAGAAGATTTTTGAAAAATGCCAATAATTTTTCACTAGTTCTTTATTATCTCCCCCTTGAAATAGGGCGAGACCCTTCATTTGAACAAACTTGAATCCCTTTCTTCCAAGGATACTTTGTGGCAAGTTTAGTTAAAGTTGGTCCAGTGGTTCTTGAGAAAAAGTCGAAAATGTGAAAAGTTTACAGAAAGACGGACGACGGACAAAATGTGATCAGGAAAGCTAATTGGAGCTTTCAGGTGATGGAGCTTTCAGCTCAGGTGATGGAGCTTTCAGCTCAGATGATGGAGCTTTCAGCTCAGGTGAGCTAAAAAAAGAAGAAAAGAAAGAGCGTGAAATCACTACTGTCACAAGTTTATAAACTATGCAGGTACTAAATGTACAGGTTAACATCACCTGATCTGTATTATGTGATCGAAGAAATGCTGTCCTTATTTGTGAAAATTCCCTCTACCAACTGAGAACATCGATCACTATCAAGATTTTGTTATTACAGTTTCCTAGATCGTCTAATATATTTAATAATATCCTCTTTCTACATATATTACCAGGTTTTGTTTTTTTTTTTGTTTTTTTTTTTTTGTTTTTTTTTTTTTTTTGATGTTTCTGCTGCTGTTAACCACGTCACACTGGCATGAATTAGAACTCTCACTATCAGACATGAACTCAGCATACAGTATATGATAATTAAAAAAAGAATTCAAGGTGTGATGCCCTGATATGGCAATTAATTCTCCCTATTCAATTTTTGAAGGAATGAATGAATACTTATTAAATATGCGCACGTACTTTTCTATTTGTATTTGAACATTCAACTTTTTAAGTGTCCATTTTATCTTCAGATTTCGCTGGTTGTACCAAGCTTTATCATAAAAGTGACTACGTTACACAATGGTCCCAGTTTTATTACGAATGTGACCACGTAAAAAAACTGGTCCCGGCTTTATCATGGAAGCGACTATGTAACATAATGGTCCCGGTTTTATAATGAAAGTGACTACTTCACAAATTGTCCCGGCTTAATCATCATCATGAACGTAACTAAGGAGCATCTTGGTCCAGGCTCTATCATGAAAGTGACTAATGAGATAATGGTCCAATCTTTATCATGAATGTCTACCTGCATTGTAACATTATGTTCCTGGCTTTTAAAATGACTTTAGATGGGATACAAAACTTCCGGTTGGGGTTATAAATGTAGGATAAAACCAGAGACCTCGGAATGGTTTACTCGGAAGGCTCGACCAGAGACGTCTAAAACGAATTAATTGATAAGAAAAAAGTCTCTCAAAGCGAACGATGTCATTTTAAAGTAGGTTAATGATTGATATATTAACAAAATACGAGCTTGAAGCGGGTATGCCTGAAATTGAGTTAGGTACCTTGTGGTAAAAATAAGTAGGGGGTGCCCCATATACGAAACAAGTGCGCGGGTTCGAATCCCACTGTGGGACGTGGAGATCGGTTCTTCGGATGAGACCGTATAAACCGAGGTCCCGTGGCACGAAAAAGATCCCTCACTGCTCAATGGCCGTAAGTGCCGAGTATAGTACCCGACTGCATCATTTCTCATCTACGTACTGTGGTGGTACTATGCATAATCATTAAAATGATGAAGTACGATAGCAGTACCCAACTTAATCATGAACGTGACTAAACAGAAAGGGCTTTACATCGTTTCATCTGTTGTTGACTTTTAATTAAATCTAGAATTTTTGAAGGAATGAATGAATACTTATTAAATATGCGCACGTACTTTTCTAATTGTATTTGAACATTCAACTTTTTAAGTGTCCATTTTATCTTCAGATTTCGCTGGTTGTACCAAGCTTTATCATAAAAGTGAATCAAAGATTATCGATTGTGATTATTTTAATACGGAAGCCGGTAGGTGCCAGGTAGAAAAATATTTTATCTGGCGGCCGCCAGATAAAAAGATCTGGCGGCCGCCAGATAAAATATTTTTTTTACCTGGCACCAACCGGCTTCCGTATTTTAACCATATTTTAGTGGTGAAAAAATTCCAAGATTCTGAATGTTGATATAGCGTCATTTTAATTATTGTTTTGTAACATGTTTTTTTGAGGTGACGTAAGTCAGCCTCGTAAGCTGCTGACCAGCTTCAATGGCGCCCCCCTCTGATCACTACCATTTGCAATTTCTTATTTATCTTCACTCTTCGGGACAATTCGCGACTGTGTGATACCTTAGAAAGCAAGGATCAAATCAAAGATAGGTTGCTAATATGTAAACAATAGCACTTGCAAGATTGATTGGAAATATTAAAACGTTATTTTTTTATCAGTTCACTAAGAAATATAGTCCTCTGTTTATACATGTACATGCATTGAAATGAGAATTTCGGTTACAAAACAAGATCGAAAAAGTATTTAATGTGATTTCAAGCAATAAGTAGTGTTTTCATGGATTTATAAATACTAAATACAAGTTCCTGAGTGGAATAAGATAATTATGAAGTATCCCTACGCTCCGAACGATTTCAGCGAGGGCAAAATGTAAACAAATGGCAATGTATGTGCATTGAACGTCGATCGCGGGCAAGGGAGGGAACAGAATCGTGGAACAAAACCAGCTGAAAGAGGCGTTCTGCTTACTTTGAAATATTCGGAGATCAACATAGGTGCAACTGAGGCGCAATAGTCGCTTTTGAGCTTTACCGTAAATTATCACAAAAGCGAAGTTTGACATGTTCACCCCCTCTGTTTTGTAAATCATTTTTTTTAAATCTGAGAACACTTGGTAATATTGTCACTATTTTATAAATCTCTTATAAAAGGTGAATAACAGTAGGGCTCTTGCACCTATTTCCCTGCTAATGACCACCCACTTCATCGATAGCCTGGTTCCCTGTCTCATCCTTGCCTAGTGACGCGGAGTACAAGAAGCGAAACAAGGACAGGGAACCAGGCTACTTCATCGAATACTCGATCGGAACTCCTCTAGAATTTACGCCTCTGCATATTAAAAAGTACATACACAACAAGACAGCTGGACCTCTACCGATGTCATACCAAATTAAGATGTTGGAGATGAATTTCGACTATTTTTATTGTCAAAGATTAATTTATGCTGTGAATACAGACATATATTTTAGAGCTATTAACTGTCTTTGGCGATCACACATGTGAAAAAAGGCTGATTACATGATAAAGTCGCTCAGTCGTCATGCAGTAGTAGATCTACTAGTTTTCATAATATAGAAATTAATTTATTATTCTTTGTTTTCATAAGTGTAAATATGTAAATAAACTATGCAAGAAATGAAAGGGTTTTTCTGTATTTACCGGTTTTAGAGACCTGTTAATCAATTTCTTTAATTTTTGTAATACATGTATATTAATCTTCAGTTGCGGATGGGCTTGTGGCGGAAGCATTTATTTCCATAAAGGTGTTATAAGTGAAATCTTCCAAAAAAAGAGGATTAACACTAATTAAAACAGAATGCTGTGTTTCAAATGTCGTCAGTGGCATTTCCATAATTTTTAAAATTGTTATTACATGTTTATAAGTTTTTTTGTCCCCTCGTTACATTTATGCAAAGTATTTTGATAGTTGTATCCATAATTTCCCTTCGATCTTGAAACCTTACAGCTATAGATTTTGAATTGCTGGACTAAATCTATCACTAAAATCATGGACCCCCTAATCCAGTAAATCCACTGTCTATTTGATAAGTCAAATATTAGAATGCGGTATAATTGCCTTTCTTTAAATATGACATTTTCCTTCACGGCTGCTTCGGGCAGGCGTTAACTGACGGACTCATTAAGTGATGATTGAAGTGGTTATGATGTACTTGGATTTGGGGTAATTTAAAGTGAAAAAATTAAAATCAGTTTGAAAATTCAATTTTTGCTTTAAGAAATAATATGAATGAAAACAATGGTTTGAATTAATATGAATGAAAACAATGGTTTGAATTCCATTTTTGCACTTCATTGGTACTACAAATTTTTACAAGCACAATTAATGCATGTGGAGAAAATGACATTGGAAATAGTTTCAAGCAAATGCACAAAAGGGTTATTTACAATTATCGTGGGATTGATCTGGTTTTGAAAGCATATACATGTAGTAAAGCAATATTTTAGGAAAAAGGGCTAGTAACATTTTGATATGACTGTCTTGAAATACGCAGAATTAACTCTTAAAATTTTGTACATTTTTGTGCTCAGAAAGAATGCATGGAACCTTAGTTATCTGAACACCTTTTTTCGATTAGTGTGCTACAGATCTGAAGGTATTTTGAGTCTACAATGCTTCATATGATTAAATAAAATTAATTATTCCAATTAAGTTGAAAAAAATGTCTAAATGGGCCTGCCCCCCCCCCCTCCAAATCAAGAGAGGGGTTTTTATTGTATTAAATGCTAACTGTATCAGTGATTAATGTGGCTCCGGGGCCATAAAATGTAGACTAACTCATTTTTGATCCCAGTCTCACTTTTACAAAAGGAATTATTAGTTGAAAAGTGAGACTGAAATCAAGAGTGAGCTCATCTAAGTTTTATGGCCCAGGGCCTGGAATTTCAAAGACATATGACACATGGTTCCTTTTTTTTTTTTTTTTTTTTACACATTCATATGCATGGAAAATTTCTTTTGTTAGTATTTTCGCATTTGTTTAAAAGTAACTAGTTCAGTTTTTTATAGATCAAATAAGTTACAAAATGCATTTGTGGTGTTGCTCACCTTTTGCTTTCCAATGGTTTTCGGGGGGGGGGGGGGTCTCTTGATGTAAGGTTTTGTATATGCCAGTTAATTTGGGGATATATTTCACATTTTACTGGAAGACTTCACCTCGATTCAGTACTTTGAGTTCATGAAAGCGTTCTGGTCTTTTGTTTAGAAATATGTTTAACATTCCACGAGGACCTTTTTCAATTTATCGAATTTTGATCATTTTGTGCCAGAGTTAATCCCATTAAATAAGTTTCACACTTAACCCTGACAAAGGCAGCACGATTGATTTTCGTACATGTAATAATACTGTAAATCTGATATGTCGATTTCATTGATAACCTATAGGATGTCACCCTTTCATCTCATCTCTTTGTATGACACTTATTTCTTCTTCGTGTTAAACTTGTTTCACTCAGAATTTGTTAATTATTAATCAGTTGGAGACGGACCGTCGTGCCGTTGAAGTTCAACATTACCGCTACAATGCAAAAAAATTAACTCACTTTTCATTTCAACTTCGGATGTTCATTACCGCTTCATCGTATAAATTTATAAGACGATTAGCGATTACAACTCATTACCCCTACATACACAAATTTGCCTGTAATGATACAGAATGAGTTCTGTTTCATATAATTCACTCACAATATAGTTGAAGTACAGTTAAGTAGATGTATGGGTTCTATTTATTATTACTCATTAAGCCTATAGTCGAAATACAATAAGACTTTCAAAATTCTAAAGTGTGGAGATATGTAGAAAAAAAAAATGCAAAAATTGTGTCTTTTAGAAATGAAATGGCTACGGATCTTAAATAATACAGTGAAAAAAATCCTGCTCAAACTCCAACTTTCATATCCAAGGGGTAAGCCTTTGCATATACATGTTGAGCTTTGTATCTGTACATGCATAAGGCGCTGGCTAACGTATAAGAGGCATTGAAGCGGAATATATACTTACAGATGTATCGGTAATGTCTACTATTTTATAGTTATAATGAGTATGAAGCAGCTGTAATGACTATTTCGAAAATGTAGCGGTAATGTAATGCACCCTGTGTCATCAGGACCAAACTGTAGTCGAAAAAAAAATTACCTAATAAATCTAGAAAATATTCAGTTGTTTTGACCATCTTTATTCCTTTCCGTAGTAAAACGGTTTCTCCTTATGAAGACCAATCGAAGCACTAGGATAAGAAGTGCCATTGGAAAAACGTTGCTTAATTGTCGTGTACATGTACTTATTATATGAGCCTCTAAAACTTCAACAATTAGCAAACGACAATATGTTTTCTGTTAAGGTAATTCCACCCTCACAATTTTATGGGTTAAAAGTAGAAAAACTGCATTTATTTTCACTGAATATAGTTTAAATTAATTAATAACCACAAAAACTGAATAGGTTGCCATATTTTTAAGATGTAAGACATAAATTAACAGAAGTATATATTTCAGCATAAAAATTCAGACACTTTTAGTAAACAGTATTATAAAAATTATGATTCTGAAAGTTCCAATATAATTGTTACTTTATAAATGTGTTTGAATTGTGAAAATCAGGGAGAACATTTTACATAAGAAAGTACCAGGTACAGTAAAGAAAATGCCTGGATGAAGATACATGAGAAGGAGTTATTGCCCTTAGCAACATTTTTAAAAGATTGAATAATAAGAAAATATTCAATTTTTGAATTCTTTCACTAAACAATATTTTTCATTACATCTGTTGAAAAGCATTCTTCCAAAAGATATATTCCTACTGGATATGAAATTAAATTAATAACAGTTTTTGCAAAAAGCTATGACATCAGAGGAGAGTGGAAATACTTTAAGAGCCCTCTATACACTACACACTAAAGAGTTCTGATTTTGTGGTATTTCGTGCAGATAGAGTTGTCTGCCCTTTGATTAAGAATAAAATAAATTGAAATGTACATTTTATTACTTAATTTGTGATCAAATCAAGCATTTATAACATTTCAATAGGCCAAGATGAATAGTAGAACACTTCATCTGCAGGTATTTTGCCGACTTAAGTAAACAACAATGATTTCTGTTCATCAGTACTTCATTGTCTTTGAACATTTTTCCTGGGGGTAAATGCAAGGTACCCTAGGTTGAAAATGTGATAGATAAACTCAAAATTTAAACCTTAACACACTATAATTTTCTCAGTGTCCCAGAAATATGTTCCTTTGGTATATAGAGGGTCCTTCAAGGCCCATGGTATACTGAGAAGTAGCTAAATAACCCTTATATTTGATAATTTTAAAACTCAATGAACTTGTTCAGTAGAGCATTCAAAGACCTCTACAAGAACACGACATACAGATATATATATATAATATACAATTAACTTGGACTTTAAACACTTACTTAATTTTCCCTTTAATAAGTTTTTGTACACTTTAGTTCTCAAGCAAATCTTGTGTAAATAATTCTGATGAATAACCATTATTTATAGTTCTCTGTTTTCCCCTCAGAATTCATGTTATCATAATGATAGTGTTTATTTCGAATTGGCACATTTTCTTAATTTTCCATATGTTTTACGTATGTACACAATATCAATTGGGTGTTAACTCATCTTATTTCATCCGTGAAGATTCTATTCAAGGGTATTACCAGTTTTACTTTGATCATAAAGTTCAACATTAGTGGAATGTGTTACATCTAACAGTCAAAATTGTAAAATTCGCTTAGAGTGAGGAACGCAGTAGATCGATTTTAGATGAATAGAAAACATGACAAGCGTATCGAAAGGTTCATTTTAATTGTTTTAATGAATGACAAGGCGAGGTAGAATGGAGCATAAAGACTGATTGAAAGCGGCATTACGAAATTTTCATGAATTACTTCGACGGTAAGCCGATATTTTGAAATGAATTTATCAAACAACCAAAATTCCTATGTTATAGGTTTGTACATTAAATTTTCATTCCACCATACGAATAGCCATCTGGAAATTCGACATTGTTCAACCGAAAAGCCAGGTGTAATGTGAAAATCATGGGCAGTGGGACTAGTGCCACCACGTAAGCACAGAGAGAGAGAGAGAGAGAGAGAGAGACGTTTTTATAGAATAACGGTGATTGTAATGTTATACATACACATTAACAAAACTTCTTTTTTCTGAATAGCGGGAAGAGTACACTCACTGTACAAGATGCCGTAAGTATAAATACACATCTAGTTAAGGTCAGACGACACGTTCCTCAAAAATATATAATTTTCCTCAATAATTTGTGATTAAAATATTACTACTTTGAGAGGTTTCCTCACAAAAAATTGGAGTATATCAACAGGCATTTGTGCAAGATATCTGAGGATGGCATTTTCTATATAATCCCATAATGGAACTCGCTTGATCTGCTGACATCCTGATTCTTGGTTTATATATTTTTCAGACATTTTGAAAATAGTTTAATCAAAAGATAATGATAATTATTAAGATTTTTGGTATATTACAAAGGAATGCAAAAACAGATATTCGAGGAACGTGTCGTCAGACCTTAGACATGACATTTCTGATAATCAGTAAGTCTAGAAGGCCCAAAACGTTTAGTAATATTTACACTTTCTAAAAGTATTTCTTATGAAAGCGTATCCGGTATGTGTCTGTGTGTAGTTTGATTTGATTTAAGATTTTTTGAAGAACCACTGAGCCAATATCAGTACAAATTAAGCTTTACATATGTACATTTAAGGATTTAGAAACTCTTTGACTTTCTATATAAAACAGACTTCACAAATGATACCTCTCCATGTGTTATAGCCAAGCAGGGGAACTGGATAAAGTGGTGAAAGTAAGGGGATTTGCAAAGGGAAAGTGAAGAGGAACAAGGGTGTAATGATAAAGAATACCCCGTCCACCCAACAAGAACACAATCAGTTATAAAAGTAAATGTATTGTTCGGATTGATTTCAGAAAATCGCCTCCAGAGCATTAAGTCTTCACCATTTTCATGGGGTCATCAAGTCCACTTTAGCAGAACTTCATAGACTCTATCTAAACGTAAGTTGCTAATATTTTATGTAAAATTTCATAAATTAATATATATATTTTATCATTCAATCTACTCTGATCTTTTTTGGAAATAAACAGCCCACAGGCCGAGTGTCTGCTGTTCTAAATGATCTTACACATCCTGAGTCCTACGAACTGGAACTTCTCATCAATGGATGCAGTACATCTGATGCAAAGCGCATTTCTTCTCAACTAGAATATGCTGTAGAAAACATCATATATGAAGTATCCGGGATCATGGTGACTCATTAATTACATTATGTATATTCTTTTGAAGAATAGATGTTTGATCATGTAATTTCAAGTCTTGATACATCTTTGAATAAAAAAAATAGCAATTTTTTTTTTACCACAATTAAAAAAAATAGTACCAGTATTCATATGCACCGTATAAATTTATTTCAAGCCTTCAAAAGGCGTGTTGGGCACAAGCTACAAATCATCAGGGATATACGAGTTGATAAGGGAGGGGAACATGTTCCCTGATGGTTATTTCTTGCATTGTGAACTGGTGAGTAGAAAAAAATATAGCATTTCATCCTTTTACATCGAACATAAGAACATGATATGAGAACGATTTTTTCCCTGATGTACATAGTATAACAATGCAATTTGATTTATTTTATGTAAAGAAAACTGTTATACATAACCCTAGCAAAAACAGCGGGTTTGTGTCATTAACATATTTTGCCATTTTAAACGGCATCCTTACAGACACAGACGATTCATATCGTTAAAATATGCATTATGAACAAGACGAAACATTTCCCTAGCAAGCCACAACTGGTGTAATTGATAAAAAGGATGCTTTGTGATTGCTCGAAATACAGAGTATGAAATACAATACATGTAATTATATGATGACCGAGATCTTCAGCAAGTATTGTTTGAATTTCTCACGAACCTATTCTTTGTCACTTCGTTTTTCCATAATATGTTCATAGTTTTCAGTCGGACTCATCGCTCGAAGAGATATAGCCGGCTTTTGTCACATTGTTCAACGGGATGCCGCCAAATGAAGTTTACGTGTTAAATAAAGTACACACTCCCAACTGCTGCAGAAAAATCAAAAAAAAAAAAAAAAATATGAAAGTTATATGAATACTTTCCTAATCTATTAAAACATAAATGGAAATGCGTTTTTTTTTTTTAAATTTAATCTGATGAAAAGCATTATATAATACTTGTAAGTATGTAGAATACACTTGGATGCATACGATTTTTATCGTCAGTTTACAATGTAAGTAAAGGTTGCGTTGTCAAGTACTAACACGTAGGTAATTAGGTCCCTGTCAAACTGTCACGATTTAGAGCTACGATTCATTACGAATTCAAAAATCGCAGCAAATCAGGATCATCGTGGAGGTATAATCGTAGGATATCTTCCTTATTCGTGTTTAATCGCAGTAAATCGCAAAACTCGGCGATTGTTTTGAGCATGTTCAAAACAACCGTGGACACAGCACGATTTTTAAGTATTCGTAGACAATCACACAACATTCGCACTGCACTGTTACACAAATTCGTAGTAAATCTTCGTGCGACTTTCGCGGTACGTCGTAGTACTCGCGACATTGCGAGTGTCCTACAAGTTGCTGCGAGCGTCTTTCGAGTTAGTACAGGTATCCTATGAGTTAGTGAGAGTGTTTTTCGAATTGATAGTACGACTTTCCCGCGAATATGTTATATTTAGAGTACGAGTTTCCTACTGTATCGGAGATACAGGGCGGGGCTTAAGGCGAGAGCGATAGCTCGAGCCAGGCCCCGCCCTGTATCTCCGATACAGTAGGAAACGAGTATTCTAAATGACTTGTGACATGACCTTTCTTATGACCTCGCTAATTTACATGTGTATTTGGGTATGTATCTCTCAACCAATCAGATGATTTTGCAGAAAGTTGATTTAGTACCCCATTTTTAGCAATCGCAACTGAAATGCCAAGTGAGGTGGATGTGCAGGTATCTGTCAATTTAAATAATTATAATTATGAGATGCATTATATAATGTGTTTTCCCAAAATTTAATTTATATTTGATTGCGTAGGTTTTTTCCTTTCTATTTAGCTCTTGTTGACTTTTTCTAAAAATCTAAGCTACGAATTTAGTGCAAAACATTTTGATACATAAGAATCATTTATGGGAATGTATTTGAAGCAAAAATGTTTCAGGGAGGTTGTATTTTGAGAGAAATGTCCGACGATGTCATTGACCGGTCGTCATACATGTGTATACAACATTCTTGGCTCCAAATTGAAATAAACAGATGTAAGAAAGGGGGCATATTACCTTCATGTTTGAAACAAAATGTAGAGGAACCAAAGGCAGATCCAGCACTCACTCGCGCACGTCGGTACCCCCCCCCTTTTTTTTTTTCTTTTTTGCTTTCGTAAATTATGTTTGCTAAACTTGTATACACTTTTAATTTATCAACACGAAACGATCACGCACGTATATAGTGTCAGGCCTGATTATGAGTCTAACCCCCCCCCCCCCCCCACGAAACCCTCGATTTTCCAGTTTGAACATTTTTTTTTTTTTCGAAGAAAACCATTTGTGTACTGCCCCCACTGCCCCCTTTCTAAAATTTTTGAACCCGCCACTGGTAACTTTACGTTGTAAAATTGTATACTTAATTAACAGATTTTGAATAGACACTAACAGCGCTATCATGCGATTTGATTGATTCTTATGTCTATATCATTTAAGACACGGATTCAGTTTTCCGTCATCGCTAAAAATAAACCGTACTGTATCGTTGATATTTTTCAGATACAGTACAGTTTCTGCTCATTTGCGTAAGAAACGCCCACTAAAAGTGCTCTGTATTGCAGTTATTGTACGGCTGACTTCAAAAGAAAACTCGCCGGGTCATGTCACAAGATACGAAAAAGGACGATTGATGGCACGTGCGATTGAACTACGAGTCAATACGATGTAGGCAGATGTCTGTTGTTAACCCTGACGAAATTAAAATACCACCTAAAATAAACGGAAAGAAGATAAGAAAAGTGAAATAAACTGAAAATGCATGTGTCACAGAACCTATGTAGACCGTGTTAACTTTAACAAATTCACGAAGAGATTAAACATAATCAAATGCTCCACACTGTAGCTATTACCCTGATCAAGCAACATGAATATGATGTTTAATAATTTCAAACAACTTTCTCTATAATCTATATGCATTTCATAATATTTATTTTATTATCAAATAGTCATTCGTCGTAGGAATATCGTGCAATATCGTAGTCATTCGTATCTTGTGTAACCGCGTTTAACATCCGTAATCGTATAAAAATCGTAACCAGTTCGCAATGCAGTCGCCTCAGTTCGTACTTAAATCGTACAAACCTCGTACTTTGTCGAACAGATATCGTAGACATACCGTTCCAGCCGCAAAAAATACCACACGCTGTGGAAAAATCAATACTGAGCTGGCGACTGAAAGCGATTTTGAAATTTTAATAATTCGTGGGTAATTGTAGCATAAATCGTGACATCTAACCTGGGGGTCGTAACATAAAGCTTGCTAAGTTTTTGACTTAAGTTGGGTCATAAGTATGTTTTAGGTGCAATCATAAGACCTGCCTAAGTACTACTTAAGTATGTCTTAAACCGGAACATAAAACGGACTTAGGTAGGTCTTAGCTAAGTCAAACTTATGTTCAAAATATTTGTTATGAATCATCCTAGTTTTTCAATTTATTTATATATATATTTGTAAAAATGATTTAGTTACGTTTTTAATCACATATGTATTAAAGCTGACGTCCTTACCTATCGGTTTTAGCTAGGTTAGATTAGATTTCGTATTTAATTAAAGTTAATTCTGTTTAAATTATTCGAAATACAATGTATTTGAAAACAAATATTGCACGGTCACAAAGTGGCACTAGTGGTTCATTGTAAATGCGTGAATATTGTTTATCACTCGAGACTGCGATGTTTTCAGTTTACCGTTTGTTAGCTCACCTGAGCCAAAGGCTCAAGTGAGCTTTTCTGATCAAAAATTTGTCCGTTGTGTGTCGTCGTTGTCGTTGTTGTTGTAAACTTTTCACATTTTCATTTTCTTCTCAAGAACCACTGGACCAAATTCAACCAAACTTGCCACAAAGTATCCTTGGGTGAAGGGGATTCAAGTTTGTTCAAATGAAGGGCCACGCCCTCTTTCAAGGAGAGATAATAAGAATTAGTGAAAAAATAATGGCATCATTAAAAAATCTTCTTCTCAAGAACCACTGGGCCAGGAAAGATGAAACTTATGTGGAAACATCCTCAGGTAGTGTAGATTCAAGTTTGTTCAAATCATGACCCCCGGGGGTAGGGTGAGGCCACAATGGGGGATCAAAGTTTTACATAGAAATATATAGGAAAAACTTTTAAAAATCTTCTTCTTAAGAACAGCAAAGCCATGATTGGTCATATTTATAAGAAAGCATCCTCAGGTAGTATAGATTCAAGTTTGTTCAAATCATGACCCCCGGGGGGAGGGTGAGGCCACAATGGGGGATCAAAGTTTTACATAGAAATATATAGGAAAATATCTTTAGAAATCTTCTTCTTAAGAACAGCAAAGCCATGATTGGTCATATTTATATGGAAGCATCCTCAGGTAGTGTAGATTCAAGTTTGTTCAAATCATGACCCCTGGGGGTAGGGTGGGGCCACAATGGGGGGGGGGGTCAAAGTTTTTCATAAGAGTATATAGAAAAAAACATTAAAAATCTTCTTCTCAAGATAAGCAAAGCCATGATTGGTCATATTTATATGAAAGCATCCTCAGGTAGTATAGATTCAAGTTTGTTCAAATCATGACCCCCGGGGGTAGGGTGAGGCCACAATGGGGGATCAAAGTTTTACATAGAAATATATAGGAAAATATCTTTAAAAATCTTCTTAAGAACAGCAAAGCCATGATTGGTCATATTTATATGGAAGCATCCTCAGGTAGTATAGATTCAAGTTTGTTCAAATCATGACCCCCGGAGGTAGGGTGAGGCCACAATGGGTGATTAAAGTTTACAGAGGAATATATAGGAAAAAATCTTTCTCTCAAGAACAGAAAAGCCATGATTAGTCAAATTGATATGGAAGCATCGTTGGGTAGTATAAAATGAAATTTGTTCAAATGAGCGCCCCCGGGGGTAGGGTGGGGCCACAATGGGGGATCAAATTTTTACAAATGAATATATGGGAAAAAATCTGCTGCTCAAGAACAGCAAAGTTATTTGTTATATTGATATGAAAGCATTGTCAGGTAGTTTAAAATCCCCCATCCCCCCTCTCTCCCCCATTAACTTTTCAATACTGAACTGATCTTTGCTTTTCTTCCTAGCCAATGTGCTCAGGTGAGCGATGTGGCCCATGGGCCTCTTGTTATTCTTTCGTTTGACGAATGTTCACTTGCTTTCAAATTGTCATTCTCGCAGATATGGCACGATAACCGAACTTGTATGTATTTGAAATTGAAACTCTAATAAAAAAAAAAGTGCAAAACAATAGAGACATTTTGAATTTTTTCCCTCCCATATCAGCACGCAGAGACTGCAGACGTTTTATGATATACTTATTTACAATTTAATGAAAGATGGAAAAGAATTGTTTTCAGACAATAATTTTTCGTATATCTCTAACTTATCAACAATCTCTCTCTCTCTGGAACGTTAGTGAACGGTAGTGAACCCTGTCTAAATCCTCGCTTGTTGCTTTCTACATTCAATCTAATTTACAGAAAACCTTTATTTGTTTTCTAGTCATATCCTTTAATTCACCGGCAATTTTTAAAATCATTTCATCTCATTTTTTCACAGTGAACAAACAAATCAATGAATACTGTATACAATTTACTTATAATGATTAGTGTTTATAACCTAGGTCCCACTAATATTTCAAACGTATCTCAAAAATAATATTTTGCATTTACATGTACATGTATATGCCATTTAGAGAGTGATATTGGAATCAGTGCCCCCCCCCCCCCCCCGAAGAAAAACTAAAATTCTTATACCAGAATATTAAATATCGAAAATTATTTTTTAATACATAATATAAATAGAGGAATGTTTTAACATAGAAAGACAACCTTAAATAGTTCTAAATATATGTTTAAGAAAGTTAAGACATACTTTAGTCACCTCTACCGGCCGGCTAAGTTTTGCTAAGATTGTCAAATCTTAGCACGTTTCTAGTTACGGTCTTAAGTTTAAGACTGTACTTAAGTCCTACTTAAGCATGGTCTTAGACTTAAGTACCCTTTATGTTACGACCCCCTGGTGTAAATGTACATTGCTTCGAAGGGGTCAAGTTAATTCACACCCTGATTAATTCGGACCATAGTAAAAGGTTCCTTCACTAAAACTTTGATATTTTATTCAGAATATTAAGTTTTTTAAAATTTGATTTTATAAACTTATAGAAAGGACACAGTTGTCGAACTTCTTCCTATTTATCACGACACCTTTTTGTCAATGTGTCATAATTAGTAGACATTAGATATTAATAGATGATGTGAGAACTTGTATTTTTACAGTCAATATAGCAATTTAGTCCTCTGCGTCGTTGATTTTTATAGGAAAGACTACACTTTGATGAAAACATGAGGACTGTTTACGTAGGGGACGGTGAGGCTTTCATGTTGCTTGTTGGAATGTTCATAACTAGAGGTTTAATAACCACGGTGAGACATGTTTTCATTTCCTAAGTACTAAATGACAGGTGGAATAAGAAATAAATGTCTCAGGGATAAACTGCCTTGAATATTTTGTCTTGAGAAGGTAGATATTATCAAGAAAAGGCAAAAAAGGTCTTCAAAAATATTAAAAATTTCTCAAGAATCACTGGGCCATAATAGATGAAACTTAAGTGAAAGCTTCCTGACAAAGTAGAGATTTAAATTTTAATTATTAAAATCGTGGCCCTGAGGGTAGGATGGGGCTACAAATTGGGATAAAAGTTTAACATGGGGGTAGACAAGGAAACAGGTGCCTAGGAGGTAAACATTCTTGTTTATGTATTGATCAGGTAAACGGAACATTCCGTAGTCTAATTAAGTATAAAAACAAAAGCCTAACATTTGTTATGAAACACATCAGCCATAATACGATCCAGTGATAGTTATATTTGATAACAAGGTCGTTATAACGACCATAGAATTTACGAAATGCTGACTTTAAACGACTTATTAAAATCCCTGTAACATCAACCTATCTGTCAGTATCCTGCCTCGGTTTAAAAATCGATCGTACTCGGAGCATGCTCTTGAGTATCGAATAAATTGGGAGATTTAAATATGCAGGTGATAGCTGGATATTACTACGTACATGTAAATAAGGAATGTTGTCGATGGAAAAGCGGAAGTCATCTCGTTTATCATACAATTTAGTAGTTAGTTGCAATTGGCCCTTATCGTCTATAGTCAGTAAAATATTCAAATATGAAACTAATCCGACACGCACAATGAGACAACATTTGTGACGGAATAGACAGGATGTCAGATTTCACAGTGTGAAGAACAAAGAAAACAGTAAAATGGGAATGAAAATTACATAAGGATCGGAATTGAGATTGAAATGGATTGCACAGGTGTCAGATTAGACAGTTTCATAACACTTATCGTTCATGCTAGTTATAATATTACATCACATTTATCTCTGTACTGGGTTTAAGGAGAATGTCTTCCTTTCAGCTTCTCCTGAAGCCGGTAGAATACCGCCTGCTGACCTTAGAGAGGTTCACTGGACTGGCAGAGAGCAACCTCCGGGTCCTGGCCACAGCCCTTCTGTATATCGTCAGACAAGTCACCGTGATCCGTGGAAAAAGAAATATGGCAAGTTAATTTTGCGATCTACATCATTTCAATTATGTTTTTTTTTCATGCAATGTTAAAGTTAATAATTGTCTTAACTTTTCCCGAGCCAGAAACAAAAGTGGAATTTTCAGATCGAGTAAATCTACGGTACCATTGATTTTTTCTCCTTTTCCGACATATTCCAGAGCCAAATGGGAAGAGTTTACAGACGGACGGACGACGGACAACAGAGGCCTGTTCAACAGAGCGAACGTTCGCGAGCGCTCGCCTTAAATTCCTTTTCTTTCCAACAGAAATGTTCGCGAGCGCTCGCGATCGTTCGCTCTGTTGAACAGGCCTCAGGTGATCAGAAAAACTAACTTGAGTTTATAATGTCATAATCAGTGCACCGCAACCAATAAGACCCCGAAAGTGTGTGGGGGGGGGGGGGGAGGTTTGAATTTACTCCTTCAATCCTCTTATACACTAGACAATATTGCTATCGCACCATCATAGAAAAATTAATTTTACCTTTTCAAAAATTGTTGTTGACCATAGGAGAGCGTTGTAAGGCGGTATGGTGTCTGCAGGGTGTTTCTTTGGAGATATTTATTTAAAAATAAAACAATTCAAAACAAATTGCCATGAAAACTACTTTGCACCACAGGCCCGTAGGACCTGCCATTCAATGAAAACTACAGGGCCCTGGGGAAATTATCAGTCCCCGTCCATTTTCTGTACATTTACAAATATCAGAAAAAAGTGTTGCTTATAAATATTGATATATCAATAGGCCTTATGATTAATCTGATATTCAAATTTTTGAAATTATGTCTATTGCTTAATCTGATTAAGAATGAGAATATAAACAGGAGACTCAAGTAGTGCAATCATTATCTTCAATTTAAAGGTGCTGTTTTATCTCCGTCCCTGCTTTTATGAAAAGAAATCTGCTGATCAGCTGATTGAGTCTGAAGTAGTGACACACTTTAACAAAGTTTTTTTTGTTTGTTTTGTATAAATTCAAGCTTAAATATATTTTTGTATCTGAAATAACTCGTATAAGACTTAATCTTTAGTTGAGTGAGTAGATAAAAATAATGTAATGGCTAACTTCATGTATTTCACATGAACAGAGGAATGGAGGAAATTCGGATTAAGAAACAAGAGGCCCATGGGCCACATTGCTCACCTAAGTAACTTTGGCCCTGCTGTTCTTCACCTGATTTCCTACCTTATAATACCTATTGTGGCCACGCCCTGATCCCCGGGGTTATGATATGAACAATTTAGAATCTACCCAACCTCAGGATGCTTCCACTTAAGTTTCAGCTTTTCTGGCCCACTGGTGCTTGAGAAAAAGATTTTTCCTATATATTTCAATGTAAAACTTGGATTCCCTATTGTGGCCCCGCCCTACCCCCGGGGGTAATGACCTCTTCCAATGTCTTCCTTTTCTTGATTTTCTTGATTATCTCCCCATGGAAAGAGGCTTGGCCCTTCATTTTAACAATTTAAACTCCCCTTCACCCAAGGATGCTTTGTACCAAGTTTGGTTAAAATTGGCCCAGTGGTTCTTGAGAAGAAGTTGAAAAAAGTTTACAGACGGACGGACAACGGATGATCAGAAAAGCTCACTTGAGCTTTCAGCTCGGGTGAGCTAAAAAAGTCGATCGTTTTTAGGAACAAGCAGGTCATATAGCACTGTCAGATGTATTAGTTAAAGAAGATTAACGACCAATTGAGTCATACAGCTTTGATTCTTATTTAATTTTTGGGAAATACCTGCTTTTTAGGTTTCAAATTTAGGCCTAAAGAAAATCCAGCAGGCCCCTGGGACTTATTTGATTTTCAGCTTTACTGGCTCCCAGCCAATTTTACTGACCTCGGGCCTTTGATCTGTGGGTTTTGCTAATGACTGAAGCTAAAACACGCATAGATTGATAATTTCATGAAAATTTATACTCTCTCAAAGAGTTTTGAGGAATATTATCTAATTTTGACACGGGGCCGAATTTTGCACCAAAGCACCGTGTCCTTTAGCAAGTCAAACTTGAAGTAGTTATTATTAAATCGCATGTTTTCTCATGTACTAGAGTGATATTGAATAAAAGTCAACAAACATATATTTTTTTAAATGACGACATTTCCTGTCCAACCGGAAGTGACTGTATCTCTTGATCTTTGATCTCATTACTAAATACTGAACGAAAGACCTAGTCGTTGCTAGAAAAAATATTCTCATCTTATTATATTTGGAGACTGATTATTCGACTATTATTCGTCCGATTGAGATGAACCCTTTTAACGGTTAATAGGCTTGATGTGGAGAATTGCGGAACGAAGGTCTTTTTCGCTCACATGTTCTTATATCACAGTACTATAAAATTGAATGCAACATGACTGTCTGACACAATCATTGAGTTCTACGATATGATTTATACTATAATTCTAGCACATGCGCACTCTGGTTGGCTGAAACTCTAAATGACTATAATAACTTCTTTATTTTTCAGCACAACGGTATAAAATTTATAATATAGATAAGTATCATATGTTCTTGTACAGTACTATAAAATTGAATGCTAGATGTATGCACATGTGCTGAATTCTGATTGGCTTTTACTTTATTGGCTTAACTCTATTGAATAAAATACTTTGAAATTTAAGACATACTAGTATGCTGATATTGTGAGATTGTATAAAAAATATGTGAGAAAAAAAAATCTAGAAAAAAACCCCGCACTTAAGTGTGCTGATTAGCTAAGATTTGAAATGATTATAACTTTCCGAGTTTTCAACGAATTTAACAAATTATTAAACATATATGTACGAGGGCTGTTCGGAAATTATTGAGACATTGTGTATATTTTTCTTTCTAATGAACGTTTTTCATTGAAAATTTGCATATACATTTGACAAACACTAAGAATTAATTAAATCAAGAAATATCTTACAAATATTTTATTTCTTCTTTTCAATGTTATATTAATGTATCAATGGTAAGGGTACCCGGCGCAGTCACGAAATCAGATATTGAAAATATGTAAGATCAACGTTCAAACTCCCGGTGGACCTATAGTAAGAGTGAAAATAATTCAATTTATATATATAATTTTTCAATTTAATTTTGACTTCATTTTGTGCAAGTATGATAGAATTTCGATCAGAAATACGGAGATCATAAAAATTTAAGCGCGGTATAGAAATCTAATAATGAAGACAAAATTGATTTTGACGTCAAGGCGGCGCAGCGAGCATACCTAAAATTTTGTGTAGCGCTATTAGGAACTCTTTTCCAGACTTCATTACCTGCTAAAACAGTAACAATGACAAAAAAAACATGTCTAAGGGTTTGTTTTTTTTCTTTGGGATCTATTATTTCTTACAAGTACATGTAATTCAACCAGAGTAAAAACAAACGCTCCAAACCACCATTAATAATTACGGACTAAATTACATGTACCCACGTAACATAAATCGGTATGCATGACGCTAAGTCGACCCGAATATGACACTGCATGTATATTTTACACTGGGGTAGCAACATTAAACATATTTTATTTTTTTTAAAGAATCGTTTAAGAAAAGAGACAGTTATTCTGATTGATATATCTTTCTAATTTTTCAGCGAATTGTTTGAAATAATGTAAAATGTCGATCTATATTACGATACTATGGGAAGACGTACATGCATATGACAATTTCGAGGGAAAACGCACCTGCACGAGCGCTAAAATCTTATTGGCTTGGTTTGCTGTACATGCGTTGCCCCCCCCCCCCCCAAATCTTATACGAAAGTTTGCCTTATGTTCAATTGTAAATTTTCTTTACAGCCTATTCCACTGGAACTACAACGATTCTTGTTTTCGGATGAGGAAATGCGACCTGTATATGGAAGACTAAAGAAAACTATAAGCTATGGAGAGGTATATTATATGTTTATTAAGACATTACAATGTAAAACACGTCGCATGTGACGTTGAAATCTCGTGTTTTCTTATATGATTGTTACATTTCTAGAGATATCTCAAAGACTGGGGTATCGAATATATAAGAAGACTGCGGATTTCTCAACAGTACGAAGCACAGTATCAATAGCTTGGAGAACCAATGGCAATACTTCAAGAAGATCTCTTTTCCAATAGCTACAAGTGCACAACATTTCAAATAATATATTCAAATAAATACAATGTAAATTTTTGGAATTGCTTGTCTATTAATGCACTGAGAAATTCTGTAAATTTTAAACATTATAATCATTAAAATATAATGAAGTACATACATATTTGCCTCAGAGAGTTTATGTATTGTATTGTTCTTTGCAAAATGTGTTTGGGATTTGAATGATATCAAAATTATAATATGATTTATGCCAGCAATACAGCATGATTTTTTTTTTTTTTTGTTATTTACAATGATAATTCCTACAAAATATTACTTTTTTCTTGACAAAAGATTTCTTACTTTTTTAGCACTAATAAAATATACAACTCAAGCCAAATGATAAATAGCTTGAGTTTAGAGATCAATAAAAGGGAAAAGTTTAGTGGCTTGCTTCACAGACATAGCCACAATTACACACATGGCGCAGTGGTTAAAGCGAAGGCTTTGTAAAAGACACTTCGCTCCAGAGCCGCAAAATCAATTTCAATTTATCAATCACTATCTTGTTGTTTACTAATTACGCCACTTTTAAAAAGGGGGCTACTCTAAATTTAATCACAGCATTGCCATGAATGTGAATATCTCGCTTTCTTTTATAATGCTAGCATATTTTTTTGCATAATACTAGATGAAATCCCGCGCAAGCACGGGGAATTGAATTTACACCACTACCAACAGAAAATATATTGTAGTTTCTACTGACGGCCTACAGGCTTATAGCAGGAAGAAATACTTTGTACAAAACCCCGCAGGAAGTAGATGTACGTCAGTCTCCAAACAACCCCCCCCCCTCCTTTTTGTAAAAACTTTTCAGATGCTTTTATTTCATTTCCGTCAAGGATAAAAGCAGCGAATATGCACATTTTACTGATAAAATGATTTTTGTTTTTGGGAGGGGGAGTAAAAATTCACTGGCACTTGGGTCTTGGTTTATAAATATGTGTGTACCTTATTGATATGTAAAAAATGTACTTTACTTTCTTTTTACATATCAATAAGGTACATACATATTTATAAACCAAGACCCAAGTACATGTGTAAAAATCAGCTTTTAACGCCCTATGAATAGACCGAGTATTTGATACTGTATTCAGAAAAAAAACTGAAATGTATTGATTAAAGCACAGAATTTTACAGCTTTAATTGTATTTGAACAATACCTTATTTATTAATTTTCTCTTTTCATGTAAGCAACTTTATTAAGCAGTACAAATTGTTCTTCGGGTTCATTGCCACGATGCTCTCAGTCAGCAAGGAAATACATGTATACTAATTTTACCGATAAATTTATTAGGAAAACCTATTACATACATGTATATGTAATAGCCTTTCGATATATAACAACTTATAATGTTATCAATGGTTACCATTTTCTTCAATGACCATTCACACAAAGCATTTTTTTATGTTCATACAGCTATTATCGCCTCGTTTTTACTTTTTAACATCGGGCTCGATGCTGTATCTGATGTTCTAGAAGCTTCCGTCAATATTAAGATCGGTGAATGACGAAAATAATTCGCACATTCCCTTTTTAATCGGTTATCAAAACTTATTTCTTTTACATCATTTAGATCAAGTTTTGATTGAATAATTCAGTGATGACGTTTTATGAAATAAATAAACTATTGCTTGTTATCAGTTTCATTAAAAATTGCCAGTAACTTAGATCCGCCAACCGGAAACGCCACCGTACTCACGTTTTTGCTATTTCATGGCTGTTTATAGAAAAAGAAAGTAGACTTTTAATTTTATGTACGATACTTACTATGCGAGTGAAATCTAAATATAGTTTACGGACATCAGCTTGTATCTAGTGTATTGTTAGAGGAGTAAGTAAGAACTCTGGTGCACCCGTTTCGGAGTTTATTTGCAAAATTTATTAATTTATAAGTATAGATGGGCCATCTATATATATTTTGTAACTCGTCGTCTACAGAAATACAGACTGCAGGCATGAGACGTGTATTATTCAATGACAGAGCCTCATTCAAATCCGTGGCAAAATATACCAAGATTTTGTGTCGCATAAGGTGCTGGCACTAAAAACAGTGACGAGTGCAAGGCCGAAAGGCCTTAATTTGCAGCCTTCCGAAAAATTCTCGAAGGGATAAGCAAGCAATAAAGCGGCAAGCAAACAGCGCAACATATTATTTACAATATACAAAATTCATAAAATCACATATGCTTATATGCATTCTTATTTAATAACTCGAATTTTAAGAAATATAATTATAATTTGATATAATGTGTTGAGTGTTTCTACCTTCAGATATTACAAACAACCATTCATTTATTCTCTCAAAAACCATATGAATGGTACAAGAGGTATATATATATATATATATATATATATATATATATATATATATATATATATATATATATATATATATATATATATATATATATGTATATATATATATACATTACAATAATTATGGACGAGCAGAGATTACAGGAGGACAGACAGTGTCAAAAATTTTGGTGATAAATATACACAATTTTCTTAAGAATGATGGATCAGTATTTGTCATTAAATTACAAAATTTTATAACATTTGGGTGTACATAGTATTTCTTTAACAGAAAATCTTTTCGAATATTACATAATACATTACATTCCAGTAAGTAATGAAATTCGTCTCCAATTTGATTATTATTACATAAATAGCAACCAGAAGTCTCTGACGAGACTGTAGACTGAGTCTGTGTCTGAGAATAGTTAACTTGTGTAAAACGTTTTATTGGAATCAGATCAAAACTGAAGGAAAGTGGCTTTTCTATTATTTTGTAGCTACGACAACGTCATTCACCATAATTAAAAAAACTGAAAAAAAAATACGTATCTTAGTGTAGTCTTTTTCTGTAAAAAGTTTGACTGAAATTGGACCAAAACTGTAGCCTTAAAAAAGAATTTCTAAGACATTTTAATTTTTAACCATAGCAACACCGTTCGGAAAAAAAAAACGATAATGAGAATTATCATATGTATCTTAGTGTTTACTTGTATACCTAGTTATGTTGAAATCAGAGTAAAACTAAGAGGAGGAGCGTTAACAAAGAGTTTCACAGAAATTTCTATTTCTTATAACCATGGCAACACTAATAACAAGAGGCCCATGCGCTACATCGCTCACCTGTGCACATTGGCTAGGAAGAAGCAGAAATCAGTTCAGTATTGTAGAGGGGTGCAAACTTTAATTTACACTACCTCAGAATGCTTCCATATCAATATTACTAATCATGGCTTTGCTGTTCTTAAATAGCAATCTCTATCCAGAGTCATCGTTCCCGCTACGCTCCACTTATACCTCTGTCAACGTCTAAAAAGTAGTACGGATGCGGAGACGCGTGGCCTTGATCACAGGAAGATTAACAAGCGTATAACCTTCACTTTTCTGTATATGTGTCAATGCTGCAAGTTGTTTGTCTTTTAAAACTAAACCATGTTGATATTTGTCGGCAATGCGTTTTAAATTTTCCACGTTCTTCTTATCTCTCTAAATGAGTGATGCAATATCCCGCCGAGAAATAATCCCTTGTAAGATACGGTGATACAGATATATTTCTTTCTAATTTTCATACATAAACTTTTCTTTAAATTTTTAAGCGAAAATATATAACTTTACAATTTATAATTTGTTATGCAATAGGTCAGGGTAAGTTTTGCCAAGAATCTTGGCATTTAGACGTTAACAGAGGTGTTGTAGCGAAGCGTAATACGCCTTCTGGTGATAGATTGCTTAAATAGAAGAATTTTAAAGATTTTTTTCCCTATGGCATGTAAAACGTTCCAATATTCGATCATTTCCATTTTTATTGTATTTCCATTTGCATTGTATAATTTTCCATTTGTATTGTATAATTTTTATTTGTATTCTACAATTTTCCATTTGTATTCTATAATTTTTATTTGTATTGTATAAATTTTCATTGTATAATTTTTCATTTTTATTGTATAATTTTCCATTTGTATTCTATAACTTTCCATTTGTATTGTTTAATTCTGCAAGTGGTAATCCAACTTATACCCATAGCTCCCTTTCTAGGGAGGAAATTCTTCAAAACCAAGTCAGTTTTAAATACACTGTATAATTATTTTTAATATTCCAAATGATCAAAATGAATTTGAATTACCATACCTATACTGGATTCCAAAACTCCATAAAAATACTTACAAACAAAGAAACATAGCGGATTCCAGTAAATGTTCTACCAAGCCTCTTTCTTTACTCCTCACTAAAATATTTACAGCAGTGAAGGAGGAACTTCAGGAGTATATTCCAGAAGTGGTGAAATCAGATGTGGATACTTAACAACTCCAAAAATTTGATATCACAAAATTTTACTAAATCATAACATCAAAACGAATGACTTTGCAACACTTTATACAACCATTCCCCACGATAAATTAAAGTCCAGGCTTTTTAACATCATAGACGGCTGCTTTTTCAATAAAAATGGAACTCGTAAATATACTTACTTTGCCAATGGTCATTTGCAAAATTATTTTGTTAAAAACATTCTGAAGTCTGAAGTTGATATTTAAAAAATGCTTGAGATTCTGATTGACAAAATCTATGTACATGTAGTTTTTGGAGATCAGGTCTTCCAACAATCTATTGGAATTTCCATGGGTACCAATTGCACCCCGTTATTAGCAGAAAAATTCTGTATTCATATAAAGCAGAATTTATTCAAAAACTTATACATGAGAAGAAAGAAACGCTTGCTGTGGCCTTCAACTTGACGTTTAGATATATCGACGACGTATTATCAATTAACAATACTTACTTCAATCCACTTGGCGATTCGATATATCCCAGTGAACTTGAAATAAAAGACACCACAAAGTCTGACACATCTGTTTTATACTTGGATATTTTACTAGAAAAAGACATTAATAGTAACCTAACAAAAAGACTTTATGATAAACGTGATGA